AACAATTATGAGGATGGCGCAGGACCCGGCAGTGTTTCGTTCTGCTGTACATAGGGTCACTATGAGTCAGAAGCGACTTGATGGCACCTAACGACAAGTGAATTATAGAGTTTTTCAGGAAACTATAAGTAGTTTAGAAGAGTGGGAACAAAGAGTTCAAAGGGAAGTGGCTGAGAGTTGAGGTTGGAGTTCTGGACAGGGGCCCAGCTGTGGAGGGCCTTGTGGAGAATGCTGAGGTCTTTGGACTTGATCTGTGACCTCCTAATTTGCTTTGTGTTTTAGAAAGCCCACTCTGGCTGCAAAGTAGATCATGACCTGGACGGGCGACGGTGATCAGTGAGGAGGCCATAGCGGCCACATAGGAAGGATGTTGGTGTGGACCTGGTCAGGTGATGGAAATGGAGGAGGATATTGAGGAGAGGGAGTCATGGGACTCAGTGTCCCTAAACTGGGGCTAGGTATCAGAGGCGACCCTCAAAGCCTGAGAGGTGTACGCAGCCTTGACTCCCAACTTGAGTAAAGGAAATTCTAGATAAGTATTTCCAAGGTCAATGGGACAAGTGGGAGTAGAATTTCAAATGACCAGGTTTAGGCTGTCCTTGGCTGTCTGGTTCTTCCCATAAAGAAAAGCTCAGAAACGTCTTGAACCCATTCCTAATGGAGAAGGTCGGCGATCAGGCTGGTTTTATACAGGCCTCCAAAATAAAACAACAAGAAAAAAACAACACACGGTTGCCGTGGAGTCAATTCTGACAGGGCGACCCCATGTGTTTCAGAGTAGAACTCTGCTTCATAGGATTTTCAGTGGCTGATTTTCTGGAAGTAGGTGATCAAGACTTTCTTCCAAGTGGCCTCTAGGTGAACTCAAACCACCAACCTTTTATTTTGTATCCTACGTGTTAACTGTTTGCACCACAGACCTCCAAGGGTCAGTAAATTCCAGGGCAATATCCAGTTTTCACCTGGAGGTGGCAGCACTGTAACTCCCAGAAAGCAAAGCGAGATAATCTCCACGACTAAAATGCACTGCAAACCCTAAAGAGAGACTTTTTGATGATTAATTTATACATTCTGAAATAACTGATGTGGCCACGTTGTAATTAGCAAGTTTTGCAACAGTCACAACAGGTTTGCATCTTAGGGTGTGACTTTTACTTCACAGCTTGCCTCTTCTTCCATTTCCTTTTCAGAATTTAACATCAGTGGCACATACACGTTCAAAACGCTACTGCCTCTCCTGTGTTTTTTCTCTGTACGGAATGATCTTGGACAACGTTCTCTCAAGTTTCTGAGTTTGTGTCTGCAGAAAAACAACAACAAAAGGTACCAAAAAGATAATGTGGCACTGTTGATTTTTTTTTTTGTCACCCACAATTGCCCCATTTCAACACAACTATTTTTATTTTTAAATATTCCCTCCGAAATCTGGTCCATATGCATACAATTTTACATAGGCATACTCAGAGATTGTTTTATCGATGCTGCATTTTAAAAGGAAGTACATAACATTTTTTTTCTGCTCTCTTAGGCATCTAGTCTCTTCCGAGATCTCACTTCCTTAGCTTCAAATATCATCACTGCACAGAAGAGCAGCCACAGGTTTATCTCTAGTCAACCTCCACTCTTCATCCATCCATCCATCCACTTATTTGCTGTGTGAATCCTATTTTGTACCATGAACTGTGCTGGTTGCCGGGAATACAAATATGAAAAGGTGTGGTCTTGTCTGTCCCAGAGCTTGTAGATCATTAGGGGGCAGGGAAGCAAACAAACAATAATAATGCAGTGAAATGGGAGGTACGATGGCAATTTTGGAGAAGAGCCCTAAAGCTGGCTTGGAGATCTAAAGAAGGGGAGAAGGCCAACACGCAGAGGAAACAGCATGTGCAAAGATAAGGGCACTCAAACGATCTGACGCTCTCGGGGAACCACAAATGGTTTAGTGTTGGTGGAGCGTGTGTTGGGGGAAAGGGGGGGTTGGGTTGGTTGGGGAAAGGTGGGTGGGGCTGGCAAGCAGGAGCCAGATCTTTAAGGGCCTCAGAAAGGACTTGAGATATTATCTTGTAGTTGATAAATATCTTAGTTCCAATCCATTTTCCACTCCGCAGTCAGAGTGACAAAGTATTTTGAAGTATCTGACCATGGCCCACCTCCGCTGGAGTATCCCAGAGAATTAACAGCCAAGTCTTCAGCAATGCTGAGAAGGCCCCGAATGAGCCTCTCTGACGCTTCAGCCCCATGCCAGGTTCTTCTTCCCTTCGCTCCCTTCCTCCCAGCTACAACTGGCTTCCTTGAGTTCTCTCTTACTCTCTGGCCTTTGCACGTGTGTACCCTCTATCTGGAACACTCATTCCCTCTCAGCCTGGCTAATCAGGGTCTCAGAGTCCCTTCGTGGTGCTAACATTTAATGCTCTTGGCAGCTAACCAAAAGGTTGGAGGCTCAAGTTCACCCAGAGGCACCTCAGAAGAAAGGCCTGGTGATCTACTTGCTAAAAATCAGTCATTGAAAACCCTGTAGAGTGGGTTGGGGACTATGGTTTTGGGGGACATCTAGGTCAACTGGCATAACATAGTTCATAAAGCAAATGTTCTACATCCTACTTTGGTGAGTAGCATCTGGGATCTTAAAAGCCTGTGAACAGCCAAGGTACATCTATTGGTCGCATCTCGTCTGAAGCAAAGAAGAATGAAGAAAACCACAGACACAAGGAAAATATTAGTCCAAAGAACTAATGGACCACATGAACCGTAGCCTCTACCAGCCTGAGCCCAGAATTGGATGGTGCCCAGCTACCGCCACCAATTACTCTGGCAGGGATCACAATGGAAGGTCCTGGCCAGAGCAGGAGAAAAATGTAGAACAAAATTCAAATTCACAAAAAAGACCAGACTAACTGGTCTGACAGAGATTGGAGGAACCCCCAAGACTATGGCCCCCGGATACCCTTCTAACTCAGAACTGAAGCCACTCCCGAAGTTCACCTTTCAGCCAAAGATTAGACAGGCCTATTAAACAAACAATAACCTACGCGAGGAACTTGCTTGTTAGATCAAACAACGAAGTATACGAGACCAAATGGTCAAAACCTGCCGGAAAGCAAAGATGAGAAGGCAGGGAGGGACAGGAAAACTGGAGGAATGGAAACGGGGAACCCTGGGTGGAAAGGGGGAGAGTGCTGACACATTGTGGGGATTGCAACCAATGTTATGAAACAATTCGTGTATAAATTTTTGAAAGAGAAACTAATTCGCTGTATAAACTTTCATCTAAAGCAGACATGCACAAAAAAACCTATAGAGCACAGTTCTACTCTGATACGCAGGGGGTCGTCATGAGTTAGAATGAACTCCATGGCAACTGATTAACTGGTTATGATATAGTCCTTCCCTTTCATTTCTATTTTTCTGGCCACCACTTTAGAAGAGAGTGTAATAGTGGGGGAAAAACATGTGTTTTGAAAAAAGAAGGGTTTCCTTGGGTAAGTTACTCTTTATGTCTCAGTTTCTGAGTTTGTAAAATGGAGATATTAACCACCTTGCCCAGAAACGGTGACTTTAGTACACACCAGGAGCTAAATAGATGGTCCTGTTGTTATTATCACCGCGTATCACACATCTCTTACTTAGAATCCGTCAGAGGTTGCACATCACTCAAACCTAAGCTGAGCATCTTGGCTGCTTTTTCATTACTCCTCCCCACAAATCCTGGGCTCTGACCAGTTTGAAATATTGGCTGGTCCATCATTCTTTCGTCTCTGCTTTCAAATTCCAGCTCAAACACACGTCCTCCCTGATTACTTCAGCACAAGCACTGTAATGGCTCCCTGCTCGGCAGTCCTACCCGTAGTTCATCAGTACTTGGGGCCAACGGCGTCGTCTTGCAGACTAGGCAACTCTTCTTTAGATTCTAAACTGCTAAAAGCAGAGGTTCTTTCTGGTTCATCTTGTACCCTGTATAGTGCATTGCCAGCAGTTGCTGATCAATAAGTATTTGGTGTAAGAACAATTCATCTTCCTTATTTCAATGGGCTTATTATCTCTATAGAATCAGATGTTTGGTTAATCTCATCTCTGTGCTGTTTTGTTGGCTTCCAGAGAGCACATTAACATTAGATGTGTTCTGTTCTGTCCTTTAACTGGAAAAAGCTTTTGGAACTGAAAAGAAAGGTTACTTCTCCAAGTCTCAGCTTCTGCCACTCCCCGGTACTCACCCCGCCTGCCTCCTGCAAGCATCGAACTACTTAGCATGGCCCTGAAGACGACATTTCTCTCTCACGCCTCTGTTCCGGTTGCCTGGGATGCCCTTATCTTAGCTTTTCTGTCTGGCGAACTCCTACTCATCCTTCAAGACTCAGCTCAAACGTCACATCACCTTCTCTGTGAAGGTTTTCTACGGTCGGCTGAATAGTGACCCCTCCTCCCATCCTTTCAGCCTTTTCTGCAATCCCCAAATAATTACAACAGTACTTATGGCATTGTTTGCTTACTTTTGTTCGACTCCTCTAAACTGTGGATTCCTTGAGGGCCAGGTTTTTGTTCGTCGTTGTATCTTCTATACCTAGCACATATTAGGCACACTATTCAAAGTGAACGAGTGCGTTAATTCACCCAACACTGCGGTTTGTATGGACCGAATTCTCAAACATTTCAAGGCCTGGTTCTGTTTGGAGATCTTCATACTGCAGGGAGGGTTTTTTTCTGCTTTGTTTTTTCGTTACCTCGGGTTGCTGGAAGGGAAAGGGAAAGTTATTACGGTGTGGCAAGAATTACACCTTTAGGTCTGAGGTGTAATTTACCCGCTCTGGCACCGAGCGGGTTACACCAGCCCGGGGGCGGAGCCATCCTGGTGCCACCTGCAGCGGGGCGGTCTGACGCGTGCGCCCTGACACGCAGCTAGTCTCCACTTGCGGAGGCCCGGCCTTGGAGGCGCGCTTGCGCTCTGGGCCTCTTCCGCCGGGGGGAGTCTCGCGGGGGCGGTGCGGGGCAGTTCTCGCGGGACCCCGAGGAGAAGCGGAAGCTAGGCGGCTCTGCTGCTTCGGCGACCCGGCGGCGGCGACGGCGGCTGTGGCGGTGACGGCGGCGGGAACAGGCGCTTCCCTCGGGGAGCAGCAGCGGGGTCAGCGGCCGCTCGCACCGCTCGGAGGGGCCGGCCGGGCCGGAGCGGAGTCGCTGCGCCACGGTGAGTTCGGGCGGCGGCGCTCGGCGCAGCTCCGGCGCTTCTTCCTCCCCGCTCGGCAGCGGGAGGCTGCACCGGGCCGGGCCCAGGAGTCGGGGCGAGCGACGAGCCCGCGACAGGGAGCCGAATCCCCGAGACTCCGACTCCACCATGCTTCCGCTTTTGGGGTGCTTCCTTTTTGGGCACTGTCCTCCCGCGGCTCTTGGCTGTGGGCAGAGCTGCGACCCCGGGGAAGGGACCGGGACTCCCTGGGTGACTCTTAGTTAAATCTCCTGCCTTCATCGTGAGGGTGTGCGCAGAAGGGGCCCGGGAGGAGCTGGAGAGGCCCCGGGTGTTAATTCTGTGAGTCAGTCTGACTTCGCCCCGGAGGCGGGGGATCGGGATCAGGCTGCAAGCGCAGGGATGCTCCTGCGACCTGCACGGCCACCACGTCACCATTTGTCGGTGTTTTTGGCCGGAATTTTGCAGGGGGATCCACCAACCCTGTCAGTACCGGGAGCTAGAGCGTTTGCTGCCGGAGCCAGTAAGAATGCCTTTTATTTCTATCGCTATCTTTTCGAGCGACTCTCTAAAAAATACGTGTCAAGAAAAATAAGCAGCAGTTGGTCGGCATGCTCCGAGGAAAGATTTCGGCGAGAGGGAAGTCCTGGTATTTGTCATTAGCAGCACTCTGCGTGTGTATAGCTGTAAGTCACCTGACTTACGGCTTGTTTAGAAAGTTATCTAAGGCTGACTTCAAATGCTGTAAAAATACAGTTTGCAGAGAAGCTGAAGTACACTGGAGGTCTCACTTTGGGTACTGTTGACTCAGAAAAGAGAGAGACACGCGAGAGAAATTAGCATTAGTCTATTTTGGCTTTCTTGTCCCTTTGATGTGCTTTTTCAGTTATTGCCTTCCCTTTGGCTACTTCTCGCCCTAAATGCTTACTTATGTAAGGCAAGTCATTTGCCTCCCCCCCCCTTTTTTTTTTCTATTTCACTTCCCCTTCCTCTTTACTGTCCTCTCTAGACACAATTTTTCTTTCAAAAGAGGTTTCTGCCGTTGGGTGCAGTTCGTTTTCTCCCTTATTTAAAGATCCCGTTTTCTTTCATGAAAAGATATCCTCTTTCTTGCTTTCATTCCTTTACTTGTAAGCTTCCACTGTGCTCCTTCAGTCAGCCAGAAGGGTTGCTAGAGAGCCGTGCAAGACTGGAGTTCTCCCCCTGGGAACTGGTAGGCTCAAAGGATTGAATTCATTAGTAAGTAATCGATACTGCCGCTAGGTCACAAGTGTGGTCTGCTTCTGTTACTTGTGTTTTCGCTTTTCCTTCAGTTTAAGATCATGTTTTTGTGCCTGCTTAGGCTTTTCTTCCCGTGTGTCTTTTATACTTGTAAGAAAGATTGGGTCCATTTGGGGCTTAGATGACTTCTTTTTGACTTTTAGTGAGGGTGGTTAATGTTAAAAAATGCAAACCGGTTATAAGTCTGTATCACAGTAGAATTAAGATAATATGAAAAATGTATGGGAGTAGAACTTATTTTATTCAGACCACTGATGAATCAAAGTGAACCCACTGTAATTGTCGTCGTTAGTAGCCGTCCAGTCGGTTCTGACTCATAGTGAAGCGCTGCGGCTCCTGCACCATTCTCACAGTCTTTGCTGTGTTTGAGCCCATTGTTGCAGCCGCTGTGTCGTATAAAAACCAGAAAACCAAACCCATTGCTGTCGAGCCGATTCCAACTCATAGCGACCCTATAGGACAGAGTAGAACTGCCCTGTGGGGCTTCTAAGGAGCAGCTGGTGGACTCGAGCTGCCTACCTTTTAGTTGGCAGCCATAGCTCTTCACCACTGTGCCGCCGGTGTGCTTATTTATTATCAGGCTCCTTTCTCTCCGTCTGTTATAATCAGTCTTTGTTTTGACAAAGAAATAACTTAATTTGTTCTGTTGCCCCTTTTGGTGTTAATAATTTTCTGAATCCCGAGGTAAAAAAAAGACGTTAATGTTTGTAATCAGCCTCTTTTGATGCTAAAATCAAGCATTTAAATGGTTGAGACAGTTTACTTCCTCAGCAAGTGTATTCAGGTTTGGGAGGATTACTCTTTTTATTTTTGAATGCTATTAGTTTGGTTTATTGTTATTTTTGAATGCTATTAGTTTGGTTTATTGTTATTTTTGAATGCTATTAGTGATACTTTTCAGTATTTCTTGTTACCATGTTGGCTGTTGTGCAGCAAGAGCATTCTAATTGTTAGGTAAGGGAGAAGAGTGCTGTGTTTTGGAGAAATGGAGTACTACAGAATGGAGAGCCACCTTGCTCTCCTTAGAGAAGTGAAGTTCCCTTACTCCAGACGCACTCTCCAGCACTGTTGAATGACCGTTGAGGTTCGTTTTTTTTTTTAAATTGGTCAAATTTGCTTTTTTCCCCCAGTGGTGCCAGTTGAATATGCATTATTTTCACTTTATGCAAGAACATTCTAGTATACTATCAGGAATGCAAACTTTAACATTTGGTTAAGGCCCTGTTTTGTAGTGTAGCAGTGATTCTTAAAATTTAGTATGCCTAAGAATCACCTGGGGATCTTATTTAAAATCAGGTTTGGGGCCTAAGGCCACTATATTGTAGAACTCCAGGGGGCACCCCACCGTAAATCAGTCTGTGAATGGGGTCATTTTGATGCAGATGGTCCAAGGACCAAAACTGTTAGGATGCAGCCCTAAACTAATGAGAACTGAAGAGTGAGCTAAAGTTACTCCACTTAATTTACATTTCTTATATATACATGTACAGTATATAATCTCTTATTCTGTTAGAATTCTAATAAGTGACCATAGATGTGATTAGTTTTTATGTATATGAATATTTGAGCATTGTTAGGACTGTGATGTGGAGCAGTTTAATTTTAAAGTTTATACTTAGTAAAATCCCCTTGCGGTTTAGTTGATTCCGACTCATAGCAACCCTACTTAATAGGGCTGTTAATTTGCCTGTCAGAGGGTTCCTCTGTGTCCCTCTGTAGATGGAAGATCTAGATTTACGGTTAGGCCACGTGGACTGCTATTTGAGAAGGGCCTGATCATGCTCATTAACATCTCTTGAGCACTTATTATGCCAGAGACTGTGCTAAGCATGCTTTATCTCTTTTAATGGTCAAAATGACCTTATAAGGTAGATGCTGAAAATACTGAGGATTAGAGAATCTTAAACTGTTGCTCCAGTGTCACCCACCCAGTTATTAAGTGGTAAAGCTACAATTGAATCCAGATCTAACACCAGAGTATCAGTAAGCCTTTGGGTTTTTGTTCTTTCTGACTAGAAAGTAGAATTACTTATTGTAAAAACACTGAAAATACAGTTGAGGTGTATAATGCAGAGTGTAAAAGTATTCTGTGGTCTGACTCCCAGAGATAACCATTGTTAACCTTCAGGACTTTTTTAGTGCAAACTGGTATATATTATTTTACTTTACAGAAATGGGATACAGTGTATTTTTCTGCAGGTTTTTTTTTTTTTTTTGAGCTCTTATGGCACAGTGGTTGAAAGCTACGGCTGCTAACCAATAGGTTGGCAGTTCAAATTCACCAGCCGCTCCTTGGAAACCCTATGGGGGCATTTCTACCGTCTTCTATAAGGTCGATATGAGCCTTGATGGCAGTGGGTTTTAATATATTTTGGTACTTACATAGAAGGATATTCCAAAGGTACACTTAGGAATATTGATCAGGTACATGTGTATTCTGTACATTGTGTTTGTGATTTTTTTTAATTGTGGTAAATATATAGATAACAAAACATTTGCCATTTCAACCATCTTCACATGCACAGTAAGTAAAGTGACTTTAAATACGTCCATCATGTTCAGCCTGCACATTGTGTTTTGTGTCACTGGTTCAGTGAAGTAAACCCTGGAAATGGAATTGCTTGATCAAGGGTATGCATTTAAAAATTGTCAGTAGGTATTACCAAATTACTCTCCAGAAGATTGAACTAATTAATTCCCTCCTAGAACGTGCACTCTGTGATGGTTTTATTATTATAACTCAGTACCAAGCAGACTGTCTGGCATATAATAGCTGCTCAAATATATGTTGAGTGAACAAACATTGGTAGGGTAATTTTTATTTGGCACTGCCACAGAAGAATTGATTGTGCTTGGTTTTCATTTTCTGCCAAACTGTATTTCACAAAGCAACAGTTGCTCAAAACACAAATTTCAAGAGTATTCATATGTTTAAGCTTTTTCTAAGAAACCTGTGGTAGACAAGTTGGGTAGCAGCAGAAAAACTTCAGTTAATAATGTTGAAACTGGTTTTGTGTGTGTGTGTGTGTGTGTGTGCGCGCGCGCGCGCGCGCGTGTGCCATGGCTGTTCAGTTACAAAGCAGTTGTGTTAAATCTTGAGTGACACAAGTTTATGCCCTGTTATGTTTTGGGTTTCTGTCCGCTTTCTATGTTTCAAAAATGAAACTCCTAATTTTTCCAGATTTGTTCAATTCTTCAGCTTCCCATCACTGATACATAGTCTTAACAATCAGACCTGAAGACCCATTAAAATGAATAGGAGGATATTATTGATAAGCATAGAACAGATTTTGGAGCATTTGTAAAAAATAAAAAATAGCCACATTGGAAACTAGGCAACTAAAAAAAAGAAAAGCAGTCATTAATGCTGGAAAAACTTGGAGGGTTGTACAAAAAAAGGAAGATTGGTTGTAGTTCATTATTTAAATCATCAATGAACAGTATATCATAATGTAATACTACTGATTAAGCCCAAATATGTGACATTACTGAGATAAGGCGAGGGAGGGAATTGGCAGGGGTGAAACGGCTAAGTCCTTGTCTTCTAGGTAATAGATAACAGCTGGAATATGGTAAGAACCAGCAATAGAAGCATCTTATTTAGAAATACTGGAAGTAAATACAAAAAGAAAGCTAAAAAGAATTGAGAGTGTTGGCTTAGGGCAGTGCTCTTTTGGTACTCTGACTCTTAAAATGTTGTACATGGGTTAGTTTGGTAAAAATGAAGTAACTGGCGAGTATAGGTAAAGAGCATTTAAGGACACACAAAAATAAATACTCTGAGGCTAATCTTTGTGTTTTTTGGTATTTGCTAGAACTCTTCCTTTCCTTACCTCTGTTACAGAGCCTCAGGGAGAGCCTAGTATGGCCTGATGGAATAAACATTGGTTTGGTTTATTACTTCCCTGCAGCAGAATGTTTGGCTTTCATAATCTGACTGAAGGACCTTTCATTACCAGGTGATTTCTTTCCTCAGTCATACTCATCTCTGTCTCGTCTCAATATTCCCAGCTGCGTTGCTGCTTAGTTCACTTGCAGCTGTGCTTGATTAATGCCCCGATTGTTAACTTTAGAACAAAAGACTAATAATCACTCGTGCCCCTCAAACGTGCTCTTTGCTAGGTGGTAATTATCCAAGAGAGGTGTCACTGTAAATATCTGTCCCCATTCTGCCAGTGTTGTTCGCTGCTTTTGTTTAGCATGCGTGAAGACAGTGCCTGAGCAAATGAGGAGGCTGTTTTTCTTGAGTTATGCAGAGGCCAAGGTTGTGCCCCATCTTTGTGGTCACAGACGCCTTACTACAGCAGCGATTGTCGCATTGCCCACAGTTCACCATCACCTGAGACACTCCCTGATGGTCTTTACAGAATCTTCTGCAAAATGCACTTAGGATCAGCTTAGTGAACCTCTTGCTCTGAGAAAAAAAGCACTGTCAGAGTAACTGAGACTTCTGTTTGACCTTCTGCCGCCGCCTGCACGTCGCCAGACGGGATCCTTGGCAACTCAGATTCTGAAAAGGGATTCCTTTTGAGTATAAGTTAGGACTTGGGCTTTGCTCCTTAGGCTAGTTAGAAATAATGTGGCTATTTCTGGAATGCTGAACTTTGGTCATCTATTTCAAGGACTGGTGGGGACCCCAAGAGTGTCTTGTGTTCAGGGCACAGGGAGCCTTATAGCAGAGCGAGCTCCACCAGCAGGAAGCCCCGGTGACTTGAGCTTGCTGATCATGGTTTTAAGTGGAAGCTGGAGAGCCGCCTGTGCCCATGATAGTAAATGGAATGAAAAAGGAGTTTCTAGGTCTGCTTTCTCCGCTTTCCTGGGAGCCGACCAAGGTTTAGTTTGTAAGAGTAAAGCAGCTCAAGACCAAAGCCTGCGTTGCTTGCTCTTGATTGTGCAGTAGGGACCCAGCATTCTCGGAAAACCAGAAACGCTTGGGGTGGGGGGAGGGTGGTAGGGAGCTAGGCCTATTTAACTGAGGCCGGGGTTCCATACCCCGGAGGAGGCACGGATCAGAGTGCAGGGGCAAGGGAGGAAAGGCGGAGACTGCCCGGGACCACTGCCGGTCTGTGCACCGCGCACACCCAGCGGGAAGGAAGAGGAAGTGTGCGCTGTAAGCGCTCAGGCGGCCGCAGCCATTGGCTGCCGGGCCTGTCAGTCGCCTGGGGGCTGAGGCTGGAAAGAGGAAGAAGGCAATCTGGGCTTCTGCCTGGAAGCGAGGGAGGAGGCCGAGCCCGGCGAGCCAGGGGGCGTGGGGGCTGGGACAGCGGCTGATCGGCAGGGCGGGGCTGCCTTCGATCCCGGCCACTTCTCTTAATGGTCCCTCTTCTGCTTCAGGGTGGCATTGTGTGTCCCAGAGTGCAGGAGCGCGTCCTAAAAGAGAGGCGAGGCGGAGCCCCAAGCGCTGGGTTGCTTCAGCTGGGAAGACTCCCTTCCCCCTGCTTCAGGCTGCTGAGCTCTGAGCACCGCTCAGAATGGAAGCCATCGCCAAATATGACTTCAAAGCTACTGCAGACGACGAGCTGAGCTTCAAAAGGGGGGACATCCTCAAGGTAAGTGCTGATGGCGAGCTCCGTGCAGAACTGGCCTCCCCTGTACTCACCTCCCGTCTCTGCCCTGGTAACACACAAAGAAACCAGCTCCTCCTCCTCTCACCCCACACCTTAACATTTACCGTCATGTTGGATCTGGATAGCTAGGGAGAAATGCTGAGGGGAATATGAAACATTACTCAGAGAGTTGGTGTGGTGTGTGGTCTTTAACTGCCTTTGTGTGGCTGCCTCGAGTATTTCTATTTACTTGTTGATATTGTGATATTGCAAGTAAAGTCTAATATGATCGTGGTAAGGAAGTACATCCCTAGATGAATTTACTTCCCAGAGTGTTATAAAAGTTAGAGGGGGTTTTTGTTTAAAAGACTTAATCTTGAAGTATTTATGTAAACGCATTCAATTAGTGTTTTACATAGCCCAAAGATTTTTGCATCCTAGAATGTAATCCTGGTAGTTTAGAAATTAATTTCCCTGAGTTTAGAGAGGTAGTTAGAAGTATATACCAGAAGTCATTAAAGAACCTCCAAACCCACTACCATCAAGTTGATTCCGACTCATAATGACCCTGTAGGGCAGAGTAGGGCTGCCCCATAGGGTTTCCAAGGGGCGCCTGGTAGATTCGAACTGCTGACCTTTTGGTTAGCAGCCGTAGCTCTTAACCACTGCGCCACCAGAGCTTCCTTAAAGAACTTCAGTGTATTTGTGTTCTTGGTGAAAAAGCTAATGGAGTTCTAAATAATAAGGCTCAACTTGCTGTTGTACAAATCGAATTTCAATTTTCTTAAACTTGAGAAGCAGTTACCACACATTAAACTCTAATTGCAGAAAAGAAACCTGCTGACAGTTTAAAAATAAGTTTCTTTACAGTTTGCAGCTCATTTTAATTCCCACTGTTTGCACAAGGGTTTGCTCTTCCTCTGGCATATGTTAATTACATTGTTTACCCAATTGACGGAAGCAGTTTGCCCTTTTGGATATGCAATTTATTTTTTATGAAGGTGGGTATTATCAGTGTGTCGACTTTTTTTTTATTATTCTATTTTTGGTAAAAAATATGCACATCAAAACATGCTCCCATTTAACACTTTCTGCACATACTCTTCAGGGATGTTGGTGACATTCTTCACATTGTGTCAACATTCTTGATATTTCTGCTGTAGTTGTTTCGCCTCCATTATTTTAGACTCACTACCCCTTAAACTCCTCATCTGCACTTTAGATTTACTGTTGTCCCTTTGGTCTCGTATAGATACTTTTTTAAAAGACCACGATATTTAAGGGTGACGTTCTTTACTTTTTGAACTAAATTTTTTTGTTTGTTTAAAGATGACTTACGGGGATAGTTTCGGGTCAAGGTTCCAAGGAGGTCCGCGGGCAGTGTGTCAGCTTTAAATGAGGAAGACTCAAGTTTCATGTTTAAATGTTTTCTGTGTCTCGAGTTTGGACCTTTTTTTCCCTCTGTCTGATTATTATTAGGACTTTGCCATCCATTTGTTTGCCCTGAATAAAATTCTCAGAATTTTATAAAGAGGAAAATGAAAATGTAAAAATATGGTCCTTTCTAAAAGAACTTGTCTTTTTTTCTTTTTTTAAAGTTATACTGACGTACTGATAGTTACCATTTTGCTCTCATTGGCCAAGAAGAAGAGTTCTACTCTGAGCTTGCCTGCAAGTAGTTTCTTAATGTTAGAAATGTAGATTGCACTTCGTAGGTGACACTGAAAAGCCCTTTAAGGGGAAGAAAACTCTGTGTGTGTGTGTGTGTGTGTCTGTGTGTGCCCGTGCGCACACACGCTTTTGAAAGTTATTTGTATGACACAAAACTCTTTCGAGGGTATTCTCAAAGTCATCACTGAATTGTCAGAAAGAGGACAGGCCAGCTATGGCTTTTAGAATGACACAGATCTTTTCTTTTCTTAGAGAGCTAGAAATCAGAGTAAATGTAACTCCAGACTGCTAAACTACCCTGTATCATTCGTGTACAAAGGAGATAATTTGATGTTTTCGTAGGCGATTACTGATTTCAGCAGATAACCTGCTCGTGATATCATAATCAGATTGGCTACTCAAGTACCCACATTTGTGTCCTGTACAAAAACTCTTGGGGCTGAGTTTTGTTTAACACAAACTTAAATTTCTCCATTAAGCTTACTCTAGAACTTGAATCTGGAAAGCTAGCAGTTCATGTTTTTCTCTAAGTCTAAATATGTTGCTTATTTTGAACTGAAGCAACAAATTAGAACAAAACCAGGGATGTGAGCTAAGAATTTTTAAACAAGAACTTTCCCTAATTGCTGTCACTGAAGCCTGTCATAGATGGTGAGAATTTTCTAAGATCTCCAATTTAAATTTCTCAATTCCTGAACAAGCGTAAAACCCTGCTCTTCCATCCTGTAATTAGGGAAGATGATTCTCTAACATTCCTTCAATAGCACAGATTTTTCAGAAGCTTGTATGGTGGAGGAGAAAGTGAATCAGAGTGCCCACCTTTACTTTCACATTTTCTTTGGGGAGAGAGAAGAATACATATATTTGGTTCTTTCCAATTTAGTAGATGACTGGGGCATGAAGTCATAATGCCATTATTGCTTTTGAACAGTGGCCATGAGCTGTTTGTTAGTAATCTTGTGGCTTCACTCCAAAAAAAAAAAGGGAATGACGATAGATACAGTAGTTGCCCTTTGTCTCCTGTGAAACAGCTGAGTGAAGAGGAGACATTGCTTTAAGAGCTGTTAGTGAAAAAGCAGAGTCTTCCTCATTTGATTCTTCAAGGAGTAACTGGCTTCATTTGAGTGGCTTTGATTTGATTTGATAACTCTTTTGAGCCAAAACATGTTTAGAAGTGACTGGAATAGCAGCTGGTTTAACTTGGTTGGACTAGGGGTATATTTGCCTTCTCTTGATAAAGAGGACACGTGCATGGGTATTGAATAAATTTTATTTGAAGATAGTGAGATAGAGAGGGTCTCAGCCTTGTACTCTGACCTAGAATTCAGGAGGGTTACACTACCTCAGTGTTCCTGGTAAACTCCTGGTTAATGTTGACCCCTGTCCGCCAGCAGGCCACCTCTTTACTTCTGTCTACACGTGCACCTGCACCACCCTGAGAAAAGAGAGGAAAATAAAAATGTTTTACCAGAAGCCTAAAATAGAGTGCTTCGTTATGTACCTGTCTTTGTTACTCTCCCTCTTATGAAAGCTTGGTTTTTTCTTGCTTAGGAGTGGCACACTGGGGCAGAAAAATGGAAGGAATTGCTCTTCTGTTGCAGGTTTTAGGTTTTACATGGCTGGAATGAACCTAAATTTCGCCACCACTATAGGGCAGGCTTGAAATAACCCGAGCCCTGGTGGCATAGTGGTTAAGAGCTTGGCTGCTAACCAAAAAGTAGGCGGTTTGAATCCACCAGCCACTTCTTGGGGCAGGTCTACTCTGTCCTGTAGGATTACTATGAGTCGCAGCCAACTCAGCGGCAGTGGGTTTGGTTTTTGGTGGCTTTGAGATAACCCCAGGGATTCTCTGTAATGAACTGCTTGACCTTTTGGTTAGCAGGCAAGTGTTTTGACCACTGTGCCACCAGGGCTTTCCATTAAATAAGACTCCCAGTAATCTACCCTTGAGCACCTAAGACTTGCACCTGCCATTTAGAAGCTGATGTACACTAACTTCAGACAGTGCAGTGCAGGAATGAATAGATCATTTTGAGTGCTCAAACCTGTGTTCATTCCATTCTTACTTTCTGTCAAGGCAGACCTCCATCTCCAGAAGAGAGCCAGTTTCCTACTTAGCAGTAGGTCTAGAGTTCACATTCTGCTGCATTCTGTCTCACTGCTGCCTGGTCTGTTTCAGTCCTTCATATTTACTGAGCACCTTCTTGAACCAAGTCCTGGGGGCTGGGGAAGAAATATGAGATGTACTTTCTCCCTTCAGGAACCCTAAAATCAAAAAAGCGGTGAAACAGCATGAAGTAGTATATAAAATTAGAGGATTTGTAGAACAGGAAAAGACCTTTTAAAAATCTCTTGATCTAGAGTTTTACTGTTTTACGGATGAGGAAATGGTGGCCCCAAGAGGCTCAGTGATGTATCCAAGCTCACACAACCGTTAATAGTAGTGAGCTGGTGTTGATGGAATGCTAACGTTGTGTTACACACTGTAATTGCTACAGTAATTAAGGAAAGGAAGAGATTGCTATGAGCTGACATCAGAGAAAGCTATGTGTGTGTGACTTGAACACATTGGTGTGACTTGAGCAGGACTTTGTGAGATGCGTAGGACAGGGCTAGGTGGGGAGAAGGGAGGACATCTCGAAGGGTGGGGAAAATTGTGCTTGTGATTGAGATAGAAATGTTAGAATAAGGTTATAAGCTGGGGCATGGTGGAAACCAAGGTCAAATCGTGAGTCAGATAAGAAAAACCCAGGAGGAGTGAAGGAGGGTTTGAAGCTGTTGATGAAAGTGTTAAGTATATATAGTGGATTGGGAGGAGGCAGCCTGGAGGTGGAGCCCAGAAGGTTGAAGTAGTCAGGTTGTGGGTTTGAGAGATGCTGAAAGGAAAAATAATAGGATTTTTGCCTATCTGCTCAAGGCACTTGGATACGTCTTCTATGTAACCGAGAAAAGAATGCCTACTGATTGGCTGGTTACAGTTTTCTAACAGCTTTTTAAGTCCTGAATTTCAGCGCACGAGTTACATTTTGAGTGTTTGAATTATCAGACAAAAAATAAGAGATTGAAGTGGAGTCCCCCCCACACACACACTTTTTAATTTATTTTTTAATTATGCTTTAGGTGAAAGTTTACAGAGCAAATTAGTTTCTCATTAAGCAGTTAATACATATATTGTTTGGTGACATTGGTTGCCAACCCCACGACATGTCAACACTCTCCCCTTCTCAACCTTGGATTCACCATTTCCATTCGTCTAGCTTCCCTGTCCGCTCCTGCCTTCTTGTACTTGCCCCTGGGCTGGCGTGCCCATTTAATCTCATAGACACGGCTGA